GGAAAGAGTTTTAGTGCTTTTGGGGTTTGGCTGTGAAGGGACTCCAGAGCCCTGGGGAAGGAGGCATAAAGCTATTTCACTTCTAGACCACTCATTCAAAAGAAAACAGGGATTTAAAGCAATTAACAGCTGTTTCCACTTGATGGCTGTTGTGTGGCTGGTCTGTGCAGTAAACAGCCATCCCCCAAGATTCACTATGCCCACTGCTAATTCTCAGTGCTTAAGTCGGAGTTGCACAGAACATATTTTCTCCTCTGCAGCAGGATCCCGTCCTAGGTATAGCAGAGACCTTGCTTGTGCATGTGTAGAGGTGGGAGGGGGCTGGCTGGGGCAAGCTGCCCTTTCCCTGCCATTGCTTTGGGGAATGCTCAACTGTTTGGTGGCTGCTCTCACAGCTAGGAGATATGAGTGAGGCGCTCATAGCCTCAGGCAAAGGGCAACTAGTGGGGACCTTGCAGAATCACAGAAGGGAATAGAACTCAAGGAAATGTCCAGCATTTTGTCCCTAAACCATAGTGTTTTGGGAAATGAAGGGTTGATTTTGGTTGTGACTCTGCAAGCCTGACAGCTCACAAGCACTGTTACACAAACCTCAGCACAGGCCCAGTCCGGCCAGCATGGCCTCACCGCCCCTGCGTGTAGGAAAGTGTCACACTGGGGTTCAAGCCTCGTCTATGCGAGAGAGCATGTCACTGAAGCTGCACTCATAAAGCTCGGCGCAGACCTCATGAGAGCTCAGGGCCCTGCAATAGCTGCTGCAGACCATCTGATGAGCCTTTAAAAATGAATCCTCCCCATGAATAATTAAAGCTACTGGGCTGCATTTTTTAGAAATGGGGAGAACGCCTGGGCAAACCCTTCCCCCCAGCTCTGCTGCAGTAGAACCGCGGTAACTTCCTTGCCCTCAGCAGTCTCTGCCCAGGGGTGTAAACGGAGCTGGATCTGGCCATCCCTATGGATTGACTGTATGCTCACCTGCTTGATGTCAGCCAGACTTTGTTTGAAGTGTGAGACTGCAGGAGAAGGCAGAGACAGAGTCTCTAGCCAGGTTGCTGCTCCAATGTGTTTCTGTGCCTGATCTGCGCAGAGAAGGAGGGAATTTTTGCCCAACAGCCACAGGGTGGGAGCTGTGACCCTGTTGTGGGCCCAGGTGTGTTTGCAGCAAAGCCAAAACAGAGAATGACTGTCAGGGATAAGGCACCAGGACATACCTGTATCTCTGAGCGTGCCTTCCCCACTCCTGCTTCCATACAGGTAGCAGAACTGGAGTCGCAGGGGGCTCACGATTCCTCCAGTGAGAACAATAAAGAAGATCTGAGCCAGACCCTGGAGGAACTGGAACTGCTGATCAAGACAAAAGATGAGGTAATACCCCCACAAAGCTGAGTAAAGCCCAAAGCAGGGTTAATTGTGAATCACCAACACCCAGTCTGTCATCACAGCTTGTCTGAAATCAGAGCGCACCTTGCACTGTTACACATGCTGCCTGTGCAAGCCAGGAAGCCTCGCAAGCCAGCGCAGCCCACTCAATGGTCTCCGTCCCCAGAGAGGCAAGGCTGAGTGAGTGCTGGGAGTTTCCCATGCAAATGGCGTTGAGCAGAGAGTCTCAGCCACTGCACAAATGGCAAGGGCTGTGCCTTGCCCCTTCCCCTTGCAGCCATCTGCAGCTGCAGTTAGCGTAGTAATTGCCTCTGGCTTTCACTGCATTTAAATGAATGATTCAAAGCACAGTTTTAATTACAGAGACTGCGAAGGAGGGGAAATGCAGAGAGAATTTCTCTGATTTGGGCATCAGCAGGCTCTCTGAAGGCTGTGCCTCAGCAGGGTGGGTGGACAGAGCCCTAGAGTTGGAGCAAGACTGCAAGGATTGGGGTACGCAGGTGTTTGGAGGTTCTTTGCTCCTTGAGAGAAGAGATCTCTCCCCTCACCCCAGACGTACCTAGGCTAGAGGAAAAGCCCAGGGACTGAGATGGGTAGAGGCCTTCACTCAAGAACTGAGCAGGGACCCTGACCCCAAGAGACTAGAGTTTGATCTCAAGGAGAATGCAGAGGCTGCTGAGCCTTGCTGGTGCTCAGCTGGTCATCTTGATCAGAGATTGGGCACTTAGAGGGAGACAACAGGTACAGCAGAAGTGGAAAGTCAGAAAGGAAGGTATTAAGGCAGATAAAATTTGGAGCCGGATGTGATGATGTGATCCTGGGAGTGAGGGAGGGGGCCTGGGGTGAGATATATGGTGGGAACAGGCCCTGCTGTGACAGGGGTGGATCTGGCATCATGCTCTTTCTCCTTGTGTTTTAGGAAATTCAGATGCTGAAAAGCCAGAAGTGCAGCCGATGGGAAGCAGAGGGCGAGCGTGAGGAAACACTGCAGAAGCTGCAGGTAACGATGGCAGATCTGGGACACCTCTGCACTCGGAGTAGAGAGATTTGTCCCTATTTCTCGTTTAAACCAAAGAGTGATTTTTCAGAGAGCTGCCATGCCTGTCTCTGCCTCTGGATGATGGGGACTTGTCCTTGCCTATGTCTCTACCTTCCCCCACCCTCCCTGTATCCCTCAGAGATACAGCGTGGGACACTATCAGCAGGCAGTAGCAAACCCAGCCTGCACATACTCTCTGCCAGTGCTCACTGCAGCCCCTGACATGGGACTGGTGACCTCCATCCCTCCGAGGTGCCTGTTCAGCTTTCTGGATGGCCAGGGATGGTTGGGGGGCTGCAGAGACTTGCCAGCCACCCCATCGGGAGCAGAGCTCTAACTCGGTCTGGCTGGCAGAGAAGGGCAGGCAGGAGAGATGTAAGCTGTCCTGTACCTCAGGGCAAGGACACAGATGGAAGTGAGATGTGTTGTGCAGTCTCTGGGGGCACTGCCTAACCTCCACCCACTGAACAAGGGAATCTGCTGCGGGGCTCAGCTCAGCACAGAAGCACTGGTTTTCATGGCAGCATAGTATCTCCAAACGTTAAATGGCATTGGAACTGGAGATGATGGACAGGTGGGGAGATAAACATCTATAGCTCCTGTGCAAACTGTGGGCAGATGCCTGGATCTGGGGCACATGTGCTCACATGCATGGGGTGCTGTGGTTCAAGATATGGTAGACCCACAGTGAGAGAACTGGTGCAGACCCGGGGTGGTTGGGTGTGGGTGGCCTGGCAGTGAGATAGCGACAGAGCTGTTTGATGGAGATAAGTGTGGTGGTTCATGAATAGCGTGTCGATGCTGTGGTGCCAGGACAGCTGCCTCACTGCACTTACATTCTTTGGCAGGAGCTGGAGGCACGCAACGCAGAGCTGGAGCGGCGCCTTCACCTGGCTGAACAGACGCTGGCCGAGACCCTGGCCGAGAGGGAGAAGATGCAGAATGAGGTCACCAAGGTGGCCGAGATCATGGATGTGAAAATTTTTGAGCTCAGCGAGATCCGTCAGGGACTAGCCAAGCTGGTAGAGAGCAACTGAGCAGCAGTGCTCACGGAGGAGACACCTCCAGCAGGAGGGGAGCCCAAGCTGGGACTGGTCACTGACAGCAATTATAATCACAGAACGGCCGCAAGGCCTGTTCGGGCAGGATACACCAACATACCAGCAGCTGCCTGGACAGTGTGGAGACCAGCCGCAGCCACTTACTGCCCACTGAACACCGAGATGGAGGGCAAAGAGGACCTGAGCTCCTGAATCCTCCACAAGGAGCACCTGTAAATCACAGCCAGGCTTCTCTGGACCCTGCCATAGCTGTGGCATGGCCCAGAGACAGCAGGCTGTCCCCGTGCTGCTCAGCAGCTTGTCTTTCCCAGCCTCCCTGTTGCCACACTGTGTCTCCAACGTTTTTACAGTTCTTTTCTAGGGAAGGGGCTGAGCAGCCTTCGTGTTTTTTCAGTAGTTTTTTAGGGAACCACTTGCCTTTTGCAAAATAAGCTGCCTCTGTTTCCCTACCTCAGGAGGGAGGAGAGGTGCCAGCACACCAAGGACAACAGTTGCTCCTTTTCTTCTTCCCCAGCCCTAACTACGTTGTGTCTTTCTAACAGGATCCAGAAATGCTGGTCACTGTCAGGAGCTTCCAGATGTAGCAGAAGTCCCCACTGCAGGCAAGGGTGCTTGCCTGCCCACGTGCCCTTTCCCACATTCAGTCACATCCTCCAGAAGAAAAGGAACTGCAGGTTTTAAAGCTCCTTTGAGTTTAACACAGTGGGTTTTTATGACTTCTTAAAACTGCTTTAAGCTGAGAGCACAGGCCTGGTTGGGATAGGGGCATTTGAAAAATGGGACACCCCCAAGGGGATGGCCAACCAACTGCTAGATTGGTATCTCTCCCAGCCTCCAAGGACTGCAGTTAATTGGAATTAAATGGAGCAAATCGCAGTTGCTCTTGTTTTTTTGTTTTTGTTTTTTTAATTGGGAAGCAGCCCACAGAAATGTCCTGCTCTGTGTCAGCCTGAGCAGTATTCCTTGTAAAGGGTACAGGTCCCAGCTTGCCATGCTTGGCCAGATTAAACAAGAATATGAGGTGTTTGGAGTATACTGGGACCAGTGCCCGTTGGGCACTGTGGGAAGTTTGTGGGTTATCATAGATGTTGTCTAGTAATAGGAATTGAGCAAAGCCTGAGGGAGGTACTGCAGAAACATGGAAAGTCATGTCTCCCCAAGGTGCCCTCTGAGTGTCTGTAGTTACCTAGGAGCATGCTTAGCCCTGTGTTGAATGATGAAGCAGTGTCTGTGTAGAAGTAATTAGTAAACTTACAGGAGTGTTGCTGGATTTGGATTGCGTTGCTGTTTTTTGCCCTCTTTACCACTATAGGTTAGGCAAAGATAGCAGTAATCCTGGGAACGTTTCACAGGTCAGCAGAAACCCTAGCACTTAGCAAACAGGATGCCAAGTACTGCCTTCTCCACACCCAGACGAACCTTGGCAAACCTGGGTAAAGGCAGTACAGCTCCTCAGGGCCTGCCTCTACTTTCACTCACCTGGTGACCAAGAGAGGAACCCACTGCTTACACACACCGTCTGCAAGTCAGGGCAGGATTAGGTCTGGCACCTTGGAAGTTTGCTGGAGCGGAGAACTGCTAGTGACTGTGTGCTGAATTGTGTCTAGGCAAGGCCCTTCCCTCTCCCAGGGGTGATGAGGCAACATCGAGATTTCCAGACCTGCATAGCCAAGGAAGGGCTTTTCTGTTTGGGGGTTTGGTTGTTTTTTTGGTTGTTTTGTTTTTTGGTGTTGGGTTTTGTTGTTGGTGGGTTTTTGTTTTTTTTTTTGCATGAACCGTTCCCATAACTGTATGAGGCTGGAGCTACTGTAGTAATATTTGTTGCAGGATATTTAAGAGGGGAAATAAGCTGGGTGGCAGAGAATTCTAGAGACTTGTTTACCACCCCGTGTCAGTGCTCACATTTTATTCCTACAGGAGCAGCCTTATTTGAAATAGAGATCAGCTCCAAGAAAGGTGTGTTTGGTCTGGATTTCCATCACTGTAGTACTGGGGGAGGCAGGTGGGATTTCGGAGTGCGGGAGAAGGGAAGTTAAGCAAGTTTCATATATTCTGATTACCACTGCCCTCTTGCACTTCTCTTCTGTGGCTGCAGCCCACAAGGAGGAGCTGGATACGGAGCCCCAGATTTGGGCAGTGACCATTTCATAGCCCTGCTCAGGCTCCACTTCTCTGGCCAGTGCCTGTGTTGTATTGCTTGTTGATCAGGGCTGACCGAACCAATGTGTGCTGTGCCTGGGTGAGTCAGCTCGCCAGAGGGAGGCCAAGCTCGGACCGTTCCCAAGGAAGGAGAAGGAGGCTCTGAGTCAAGCTGCTGCACATCCCAGCAGGACTCCCTCTGAGTGGGAGAGATGCAGATGCGAGCTGTGGCACGGTGCTCAGCTGAAACGGTATCTCTGCCGGCTCCACGGAGACGCACAGGCGTGCAGTCTGCCGTTCTCCCCAGGACCCGCTCCAAGCTGGGTCAGACAGCAGTACAGGATGAGACCTAGCCCTGGTGCAGCATTTTATACCTTCAAAGCACAGCCTAGAATCACCAGAGAACTCCACCGGACCTCTAACAACGACAACGGGCCCACTGACAGTCTTAGGTTCAGTGAGTGCAAGAAGGCCTAAAAGTCATGCAACGAGTTATAAATTTAAGGAATCTGCAGTTAATCTTCCACTGACTTAACTGACTTCCTGCAGGAACCTCTTCTTGCTTCACACAGAGCTCAACCTCTTCATGTCAAGCTAAGAGTCAAGCCACAGCCAGACTCTTTATTTAAAAACGCCATGGAAAAAACCCCACACCACTATGAAAAAGTTCTAGACTGCTGCTTACCCTCATAACGTCACACAAAGCCAAAGCCTGAGTGAGATTTCACGCAGCCACACAGTGCCTATGGAAGCAGTCCTAGCCTCGCAGATCTCTTCTCTTGTCATTATGGTGTGTAAAATCCAGTCTTGAGAGCTCTGCTGAGCTCACACCGCAGATAGTGTATGGGCACTGAGCAGAACGGGGTGCTATGCACTGGTCAGAACAGGGATCCTGAAATAGTGCCTCCTCTAGAGACTCAGCAGTCCAACATTTGGCATCCTGAGGAGCTAACCCTCTGCCCCCAAGGAAGCATTTTTTGTCTAGTGTGAGGACCGTTGCACCCTGTCATATTATTAACCATCCATAAGTGCAAGTTCCTCCATTCAGCTCTTGTGAAATCAACGCTTCTGCAGTAGGAACGAGCACAGCCCATTCACTAAACTTTCTGAACAGACTGTTGCAAACAAACAGCTCTGTCTGCCTCTAGAAACTTCCCTGTTGGAGCTGCCCAGCTGCACTCTCCCTGGTGGGATGCTGGAGGCTGTTTCCCTGTGCAGAGTGTACCAGGAGTACTTTGCATGCATTTGCTGCGCCTTGCTCCGTCAGCTAGTCACAGTCCTAGCTGTGCTCCTTTGCTCTTCCATTGTCAGGCACCAAGGAGAACTGAGGCCGTTTTCCTTTACACTTTTCTTCCCTGCGGGTACTAGTTGCAATTCTCTTCCTTGGCAGGAGAATCTAAATAGTGGCTTTTTGATGAGATCTGCCCTGTGCCCAGCATTTGTTAAAAGTCTTTTATTGAGGCATTGCAGGGCAGTGTGATGGATAGTCCTGGGAGGCACTTTTGGTTGCAATCCTCCCCTCTTCTAAACTAATGAAAACCCATTCATCACCAGCTATTTCCACAAATGCCCTAAATTTGCAGTTAGCAGCAAGACAATCTTGCTGTAGACTGGTATAGCAGCAAAGCACTAATTCTGTCTGCCCCACTCTCTAGTGAGCATTTAGAAAGGACTTTGATTGTATTTAAGAGCAGCAGCAGCACTCTAATACATCACCACTACACACTTTCTCATACCTTCCCTGTTTATGCTTTTCCTGCTTTAAAAGAGAAAAATCCTGTGTTACAAAAGCCATCACTGAATGGCAAAGCTGCAATTTTATATTTGCTTCTATCTCACAATAACAATTACTGTCAGCAACTAAATAACAGTGGCTTCCTTGCTGGAGGAGAAATGCTACTGATTGCAGGTACCTTGAGAGACCTAATTCTTTTGGCAAATTAGAGTCTTAATTATTCATAGAAAACCTAGACAGAACATTAATAAAGAGAACATGGGGGAAATGGTTCACATGTGAGATCAGGATGAACAAACAAACAAACTTGCAACTTTCCCCTCTGTGCACAAGGTTCTGAATAGTAGCGGTAAGGTCTGACCCTCTGCTCTCAATCCAGACCGGAGATGCGACCCTTCTGACCAGCTCAGCAAGAGGAAATGAAGCTTTGCTATTGCAGCATGTGCCAATAATACAGCCTCAGAAAAAGGATGCGTCTAATGCAAACTCCACCTGGCAGATACCAACAGGCCTCCCAGGCTGAACAGGAATGTTCAATCCAATCCAGACCTAGAGCAGGCCTGGCAGTCAAAGAGCCAGACCGCTACCAGCACTGCCACTGGCTCACTCTGCAGTCTCCCGCACCTCTCTGGGCTTTGATTCCTCCTCCTCCTCCACAAAGTAGATAATTACCCTCCCTGAAGGCTGTGGGACTTTTAAATTACTATAAGGTGCCTGGAAAGCCAAGAGAAGAAAAAAGTAGTACAGGCTGGCCTGGTTAATACACTAAGTCCATAAGCGGTTTTAAACAAAAGGTAAAATCTTTCTTTTCCCAAAATGCCTCTGCAGAGCCCCCCTGGCAATGACTGCTGTGTTAGGCAGCTTCACAGCAAAGTTACTTAACAGATATTGACTTTGATATCTGTATTTTTGTGAGAATACACAGTTCTGGCTGAAGCAAGTCCTTAATGGAGTGAAAGCAACTAGGTACTTTGTGTTAAGTAGCCAAAGGTTCAAACTTAGGGGAATTTGTAATTAAATAGCACCAATAATGGAAAATAGGTGACCTAACCCTTTTGAGCTCCCTGCATCTGGGCCGAGGAGATCAGCTGCTCTGTTACTCAGAGGATAGGTTATTTTTAGTTCAGAAATGGTCTGTTTACACTTCACAGCACAGGCAAGCATACTCTGCGAGTGTAACGTTCCCCCCCCCCACACACACACACATGCACACACTGGAAGACAATTTCCGAGTGCACCAGAGAAGGCAATTAAGTGTGTGTTTTGGAAAGTGTCCATAAACATATAATAAAGCCCCAACTCCAATGAGGTTCACAATCCCCTTTCCCAGAGTAATTTATAATTATTATTGTTATTAGATTGTGGTGTGTAAAGGCAGTTTCTGCTCTGAGGGAAAAGAGCGTGAGCTACAGCAGTAACCCTCTCTGCACAAGATCCTACCTCCTCCATCTGCTTCCCTCCACCCTGCCAAAAAAGCAGCAGCTGGAATAAGGCTGGAAACGAGACACTTGTGGCAAGAGCAAGCAACGCTCCAGACACAAGAGACGTGGAGCTGCAGCAACAGGTAATATAAAGGAGCAACACTCGCACGCTCCAGTCAGCTCACAGTTGAAGCATAGTTCACAGCTACTCAGCTCCCCAGGGACTGCTGACTCCAAGCCTGGGAAGTGAGAATCAGAGGTACCAAATTCATTTTCCTCAGTTGCCACTGTAGGAAGTTGCCATGTAGAAGGGGTCAGGGCACTGGCATCATCTATGTGCCCAGGGCACACAGGGGAAGGCTCTGCAGTCTGCAGAACCACTGTTCTAGGGGAATATGTCCCCTTTGCAGGTCACTGGGACTTCACAGGCTGCCACAAATGGGAATTGTCACCAATTTTTCAAGTACCCCATCCTGTAGTCCTCATGCACATGACGCTGCGTGCTCCAGAGAGAACAGGGTAGCCTCTCTGCTTTACCACTAGCTTCTCACACTGTTATTAGCTTATTTTTCCCAAGGGCTGGTAGAACAACAAGTGAGAGAGGATGCTGTATCTAGGCTCTGCCTTCTGTTTCCGTCAATGCTGGGCTAACAAGGTTTCAAATCCCAGCAGGCAACAGACAGAAAAAGGCATGTGGGAGAAACGTCATTTCACTCTAGCCGTACGGGCTGGAGAGATTAATGCCCTGACCATGGTATGGGCAGATGAAAACAATGACCAAATATAGAGATTGGCGGCATCACTGCTACATCTTCTGTGCTCTCAACATGGGAGCAGCATGGCTGGTGATGTTTGTGCTTGGGGCTGCAAGAATGACACTGGGAAGTGAATTATGCTATAACAGGAGACTGCTCAAGCTCAGGTCTTGGCATGTAGAAGGGAAGGAATTGGATAGGACTAGCCAATGGTTTGTTTTACAATAGCTCCAATCTCCGCTCACCTGCCGTTTGCACAAAGCTACTTGACTCAATGAGCAGAACTGGAGGGATGAGGACAAGCCGCTGCAGCAGGCTAGTGCTGCAGTCATGGCTTCTCTTCGCAGGGCCAAGGCAGAGTCTCCTACTCCTCAACAACTGCTCTCCCTCCCAGAGGTGACAGGAATCAAGAGCAAGTCACACAGGGTCGTGTTCCCAGGAGACAGAGCTGCTGCAGGGACCGAGACACAGGTATGAATTAAGCAGACCCAACAGGCAGGTTTTCTTAGCATGAAAGGGAAAAAAAATTGCCAGTATTTCTTCCCTCTGGCCCCTTTTGGGGTCCTGACGCTGGCAAGGATGAGATGGGAGGGAGGGGTACAGCATCAAGCACACCTTACCCAGAGTAAAGACACACATGTCCAGACAGCTGTAGTCAAGCCATTAATGAGGGTGTGCCACAGACAAGTTTAATTAATCAGCAAAAACTGGCAGGGAAGAAGTTTAAGGTGCAGCAGGGAAAGTAGGTTCAACAAAGAAACTACAAGGAGCTGAGAAGAGAGCCCTGAAATGGAGAGGAAGCTAAAGCTATGATGGAGCATTGCAGGGATACAGGATCGCTCCTGCCCTGCTGCAGACATGGGCTGACACTGTCAACAGAGCCACTAGTCGACCCTACAAGTGAAGGGGAAAACGTTCAAGCTTGGAGCACTGACGCAGGAGGATCCTGCCAGCAGCAGCAGCAGCTGGGACATGCCTGCTGCAGGGGTGAGGCTCAGGCTCAGGGCAGTCCTGTCTTCCCCACTGTCTCCCTGCTTTCTCAAATGGGATCTTTATTATCCAGCTGCCCAGCCAAGAGGCCCTGCGCTGTATTTCCTCCTGAACAAGGACGAGAGCCAGCAGTGAGGGCGTCCAGAGCACACAAGCTGCCATCTACTGGCTAACCAGGCAGCAGAGACCCCCCAGGACTGCATGCAAGCTGCCCCAGGAGAAGGGCTCAGAGGGGAAACGGCTGTTCCTGGTAGGAAGGCTCGTTAAGCAGCTTTTTAAGGCTTTCAAAATAGCTGAGTTGTGTTTACAAAGGTAAAAGAGGAGCTGACACAGCACCGGCTGTACCAGCAAGGTATCTGGATGGCACGGAGAACTCACGTAGAAGTATAACTGTGTTAAATATACACAGAGCTGGTGCCCAAGCACCAACTGCAGCCCCTGCGAGAGCACAGCAAGGTCAGACCAACGTGAGGGCAGCAAATCCTGCCTGGTGCAGGAGCAGAAATGCCTAGGCTGACCCTAGCAGCATCAGGTTAACGCTACATCTGGATAACAGACTGGGAGAGAGCTTATATCTACTGCTCTGGCTTATACCTACTTCCTGGTCAGAGGGAGTATTTTGAGCAGGGAGCCAAAAATGGCTGCACCTACAGCCAGCGGCAGCAAAGCTGGAACACGGGCTCCAATGCAGCTCTGCTATCTCAGCAGAGATAAATCCCATAGACTGTCCCAGACTGTTTCATTGCAGCTGCCTTCTCCTTGCCACAGAGATCAGGGGCTTTCCTGGCTGAGTCTATGTGAGGGAGTGCCAGCTCCTGAAGGTGACTGCTGCATTACCAAATCCCTTCCACGCTTCCAAGTTTCCTTGCTCTGCAGTTTCCTTGCTCCTTGTTCTGCTCTGCAGAACTGCCAGTGTTGAGGATTTATCAAGCGTATATCTCACCAAGGAGGATCCCAGCCTTGCTATTTAGAGGAGATAGCATCTCCCTTCCCCCAGCAAAACTTCTGGGAAGCAGTCCCCAAAGATGTGTCCGTTCCTCCCCAAGGGGGAAAGAGATGTGGAGAGTGCTCCAGGAACAGGCAAATACTTCCTAAAACATGCACAGAAACAGCCAGTCTTGGTGTATGCCTACAGGCTGATCAGTGTAAAGGCCAGACAGAATTGCCCTGCAAGGTGGGAGCTGGAGGAGCGTGTACTTGCGCAAGCCCCTCAGAGCAAGCAGGGCTGGGCAATGGTTTCACACCGAGGCAGCAGGAGGATCAGGAGAGTTGACAAGGGTGTCCGGCAGGACTGTCCCCTCACACACACCCTGGCACGGCCCCTTCGGCAGCACCACGCTCAGCAGCAGCACACGGTTGGGTGAGAGAGGCAGAAGCGGTAGCATCCAGATGCTGAATTGGAAAGAGTTTCCATAGCAACCGTGGGGGGAACCCTCCCAGAGCTCCAGGAGGTTGGTCTGAAGGAGAGGAGAGAAGGGAGCATGCAGAGCATGTGGAAGGCACACAGCAAACAGCAGTGCAAGGGAGCGAGAGAAAATGGGTATGGCTCACACACTCAGACACAGGAGGGCATAAAAAGGGATCGGTTCTCTGACCGACTCTCACACAGCACTGACAGAGAAGCATATGAACGCCTGCCTGGAGGGAATGGCAGGCGAATCTGCACAGTCCACACACAGAAGAGAAGGGTTTTGTGGCCAAGATACAGATTTGGGAGGCTGGGTGCTCCTGGATTTTGCCAGCAAGCCTGGGATAAGAAGCAAGACCTTATATTCATAGGGGAATCCCAAAGTTTGTGATAATGCTTAGAAACTCCAGGATGGAACATCCTGCTTGGAGGACAGTACTCACAGCACATACAGAAATGTCACTGAATGTCCTTTGGCCCTAGGCAAGATGTAAATTCCTAATCTGGGAATGAAGGACACCTTTCTATGTCTTAACTAACACAGCAACCTCATTTCCTACTTGGCCACTCCCAAGACTGACTATCTGAAGCAGGAACAGCTTGTCAACACTACAGAGAGCTCTTATTTCCAGCACGTGTCCTACCCTCACACAGGAGGCTGCTCAGGAAAGACAAGGGATGCATTAAAAGGAATTTTGAATAAAGCTTGAAGACAAGCACCTTGATCAAACGCCACATGTCACATTGTGCTAGAAGGAGACATGTCACATTATGCTGGAAGGAGCTGAACAGAGAAACCCCCACCAAGCTGAAGCACAGACTTCAGAAGGCAGGTTAAGAAGTGTTTGCGAGAGGTTGGAACAACTGACACTCAAATGCAGTATCAACACCCTCCCCAGAAAGGCAAGTGCTGCCTGTCCCAGGGAGGATGTCTCTTATTTGCAGCTAAGTCTTGCTCCACAAATTAGCATGCACATGGCTGCATAAGTACTTAGTATTCAGATAGCATCTATCCGGTACAAACCTATTTACAGCTGCTGCAGCAGCTGCCACCAGTGACAGTGGGCTGTACTACAAGGCAGGCTATTGAGTGCTTTTTCCTTCCCAGGCGGCACCCAAGGGGACAAAGTGAGAAACATGGTTCAGGCATCTCCCAAACCCCAAACTGTATCACACCCATCTCATCCCACACCTGCCACCAGGTAGCCATAAAGATAGACACTGGCCAAGCCCATGTGAGTGCTGAGCTCCTGCAAGGCCTGAATGCACTGTGAGGCCTGCTGTTCATGGCTGCAGGATCTTTTCTGAGGGAAACAATGGCTTTCCTTTGCAAGACCTCCCTGTGCACACGCCATGCTGAGTCAGGCAAAGGCACTGCAGGGACCACCTGCTCCTAGGAAAGGAGCTGGGCTCAGGTTGGATGAAAGGACAACAGAAGCTTTCCATGGCAGATAGACAGCATCAGGATATCCAACACCCACAAGCCAACTCCTTGTCCAACTGATTTCCTGAAACAAAACTGAAGGTTTCCCATTTTATCTCCAGCTGTTTCCCCACACAAGGTACTCTTCCACTCCCCTGAGAGCCCATGACAATTCCTCCATGCGAGTAGGTGTTAGAGAAGGTCAAACATCCTGTCACCTGTTGCCAATAAGTATTTATTTGGGGCCTGACCACAGAAACTATTCTTGCAAACCAGAGAACAGAAATAACAGTTCCTCAAACATTAAAGAAGGCACTGACAATCAAACTTGACATTAGAAACAGAGCTGGCCAAACCCTATGACCTGAGCCTGCTCTGGGATTTGAGGCTCTGTGGGGAAGCACTTTTATGCCAAATGATTTTCAGAAGATCTCAGCACCCCTTGGCCAACCTCCTGTTCCAAATATACATGATGCAAATCTATGCTGGGAGGCCCAGAAACCTTTCTGGTTACTCTTAGATGGTACAAGAAATATGGGAGCCCCACCTCATTGGCTTTTCACCTTCTGCACCAGAAAAGGTCTTTGAACTGACTATCACCTGGGAAAGCAAGATCAGATCAAGAGTCCCCAGAAGCCCAAGTCACTGAGGGAACCAGGACTCTACTACCCACACCAATCAGCAGTGCTGGAGTCCAAACTGAGGCAGATGATCACAGGCAAGGGTGCCACATAAATGCATAAAGCAGCATTATCAGAAGGATAGGCCTCAAGACCAGCTGCACAACACAACCTCCCTATGTGTTCCAGGAAATTTTCCTCTCAGAAAACCATGGGCTATGCCAGGTCGAGGGGCTGAGATCATCCTGTCGCAGTATTTTTAGACTCTGGCTCAGGGGAGAATCTGTTGATATAAACAAGAGTGGAAAGCACCAGCCCTTGTAAGGGAAAGAGCAATGACTGACTGGAGAGAGAGAGAGAATCCTTATTTCCCTTCATGTCACCAACAATTCAGGTCTGGCTGTCCTTTGCTCGGGAAAGGGATGCGCTTTTGAAGGACATTCTTCCAGGAGATGGATCCAGCCTTTCAGGAGGGGCTCAAGCCAGCAGCATTACGCAGGAATGAAAAGTAACGGAGATGGTTTTTGAGAGGATCCCATCCTCCCTCACCTGCTTCCCCCAAACTCTCCAACACCAATTTCAAGTCAGAATTGTCCACATTAAAACCCATTAGGGCTCAGTATCCCCAAAGCAGGAGCAACATCAGGGTGGTAACAGCCAACCAGCAGGGCTCCCAAGCTCCCTATGAGTAGAAATAAGTCAGGCCAAAGGATGTTATTTCTCTTCCTCAGCACGCAGTCTGTTCTGCCGCTCTATCCTCTTCTGCAGTTTCCTCTTCAGCTGCAGTTGCTTTTTCTCCTCCAGTGTTTGCCGGATCTTCTCACGGAATTGCTTGTTTTTCTTCTTGATCTTGGCCAGTTCTGCCTTCCTTTTTGCCTCCAGATCCGGATCCTGCAATGACAAATGCCAGGATACTAGTCACATGCATAGGGATAGTGCCAGCCCCTTGCCTTTGCCAGATGCCCACTCTGCTCCCTAGCCCATGACTGAGTAAGCTGCAGAAGTCAGACACTAATCCAATCACTTTTTCCGTACCAGTCACCCTTTAAGATAAGTTTCACCACCCCAAAAGGGAGGTGGACAAACCACAGCAGTGAAGAAGAAACCGTCATTCCTCTTCCTTGTCAATGGTGTTATACCAGCTACCGATCAAAGTAGTTTATATAGCAGCAACTCTCACCTTCCCTTCAAGGATCATTTGTTTCCGCTTATTTATTTCTTTCTTTTCATCAAAATCCATCCCCTCCAGTTTCTGTCAAAGCAAAGATAGAGGAGGGCAATCAGCAACCAATCACTGAGCCTGACACAGAAAAGCAGTCAGCAGAGCCTCCTTGGTTCTCACACGCACCTTTGGTAACCTCCAGCCCCAACACTCAGCAGCACAGAAATGCTGCAGAAATGTTCAATAATAGATCAAACCATCAAACCCTATGCTAAGGAAGATATTTAAAAAAAAAAAAAAAAAAAAAGCCCACATACATCCAAATGTTTCCACTAGAAAAACTCTTATCTATGTGCTCAAGAAAAAAAGCTTCATATCCAGAGCTGAACACTAGACTGTGACAAATCTCCTTGTTACACCCAGCTGCCCAACGTTTCCAGTCCTCTGAGCAAAGGGGCTTATGCTTGCACACTTACTATTTCACACTCCCTCCTGGTGATGTACACCTGGGTGAGGATGTCAAGCACAAAGCGCTCCTCCACAGAAAACTCCTGCAGCTTCAGTTCTAAATCAGAACAAGACATTTACAGAGCACGGGTCATTACAAAATACAGAGGCAGATTCGCAACTAGTGAAATCAGTATAGTTTCACTGATTGTCAGTGGAACTGTTGTCACTTGCTTTGATCATTATGACTTCTGCAGTCCTACAACACAGGATTAAATCCTCCCCTCTGCCCATAAGTCCCTGTAGCACAAGATGTTGCCTTTATTAGGTCTGTTTTCAAAACAGATGAAACCTGAATCTGTGCAAAGCGTCCCACTCTTTCTGTACACCTCTGCATACACAGCACTGAGTCAGGAAGGAAGGAAAGAAGGAGCTGACTGCTGTAAGAAAAAGGTTACAGAGCAAGCTCTACAGCCCGTTTCCCCTGCACTAGAAATAGCAGGAAGACAAACATGCTCATGCCTGGCACACACAACAGCAAACCCAAAGCTGATAGATTTAAGTGCTCCCGCTCTTTCCCAAGCCTTGGCCACACAATCAGGGAAGAGAGACCATTTTGTTGCCAGTGTTCTGGATCATACATCCTACCCTGTGAAATTAGGACTGCAAGAATCACAAGCACAGAGGAGCATGTATCATCCCATTTTAGCACCGTTAACGCTCTCCACTTACTGATTTCATCCTCGATAGCATGTACCAGATGGATGTCGTACTGTGTCACCATTGTAATAGCTATTCCGTGCCGACCTGGAGGATAAGAACACAGTAATATATGAATCTTGACGAGCAGAGGGAGATGAAGCCTAATCCATGCCAGAGGCCATCCATCCCTGTGAGTCAGCTTGGCAGATTATGGTCACAGGGCACTCTGAAGAAGGACCTTTATTTGCTCTGCAAAATCAATTAACTATTGGTGCAGATCAGACACAGCTCAAGGTGAACCATCAACGCAATCTTAGGGCAGGATGCTGAGCCCGTGATCCGAGTAGATCTGACACTGACTGAAAACACCGCACTGCAGCTGCTGCAAAGCCTCCTTACACCCATTCAGGGCACAGCCTTAGCACTGGGATCCCAGTTCTAGCCAGCTGCAGCACTATCTTGCAGCAAATGGCACAGGGTTTTCCTTGCTCACCAGCACGGGCTGTCCGGCCAACCCGGTGAATGTAGATTTTTGGCAAGCCTGGAGTATTGTGGTTGATGACAACTTGTACTGCAGGAATGTCCAAACCTCTGGAATGCAGTAAAAGAGAACAGAAGTTAAGAAACACCATTTTAGTACTCTGCTCTCCCCAAGAGCCCAATATTCTCATGAATACTGCCTTTATTAGCTCAGACTGAATCTAGGACAAACCCTCTCCTCACACTGCTCTCCAACAGCTGCAAAATGGGATGGCCTGCATAAACATCACCCTGTAGCCTGACCAGCCTGCTGTTCCCTCCCTAGACCCAGGAGACAAGCTAAGCCTCACAGAAATCTTTCTCCTACTACAACACATGCACACACTCCTGCTGCAGCAAAACAAAGCAGAATCAGAGCTACTTCATGTACAAATGAGCTCCAAAGTACGTCTTAAATATTCCCTAATCAAAGGGAACAACCCTATCCTACCCAAGTGGGGATTAGAGGGAATTTAAAACTCCTCTCTTGCTAAAGCTACCCTAACCTCCACAGTGACTGTGGTGCTTTAAAAGCACGCCTAAGACCTTTGGCAACAGACACACTAGTTTTTCGTTACCTGGCAGCAACATCCGTGGCAATAAGAATCCTAAAGATGCTGGACTTGAACTTTGCTAAAGCCGCAAATCGCTGCCGCTATAAAGGAAAAGTCTGGATAAGTGATACTGCGATCCTCAGGAGCTGCGTGCCCTGGACAGACCTCTGGCTCAGGGATGCAGCTATAAGCATCCATCTCCCAGACCTGGCCTGTCACTCACCTGTTTCATCATGGAATGCAGAGCTACAGAAGGAAAGTTGAACTTCCTAAGCATCATGTTCAAGACTTGGCAGTCCCTTAAGGCAAAAATACATTTCCTTGTTATATTCTGATCTTTCAAAAGCAGATGAATCAGAACAGAGGCTGGGGTTCCTCTAGAACCCCTCAGAGTACAATCACCACGATGAAGTTAGTTACCGAAGCGCTCTGACGGAGGTAGGGAACAGGACGCCCACTCCACACTTAGCACCCGCTCACCCCAAGAGAGTGACTGGATCCCTGCATGTACCCAGGGAAATGTCACAAGCACCACACTTAATCCCCAGGAACTAAAATCCTAAAGAAAGAGAACAGTACGAAAGAGCGGACAGTGCTATTTTCCCCATCCCTTTTCCGTTATCCATCAGCAGGAGCAAAGGAAGATCAAGGGAGGTAACATAGCTTGACCCTCTGGAGCGTTACATTTGTGGACAGTCCTTCACCCCCAGATTGCCCAAAGGAAAAGGAGTTCATCTGCCAAATTTCAGCACAGACTAAGGAAGTAAATACCATCCCAGTCTAACAAACCATAAACCTGAACTAGAAATGCAAAAACACGTTTACAGTAAGAGCAATCACAAGGAGCAACTTCACTCACTTGCAGGTTTTGGTAAAGACAATAATAGACCAGTCTTCATGCTCATCCTGAAAGGTCTGGATTAAATGGACCAGGTACGCATCCTTGACTGTCTCTGGCACAAGCAAGTAGCGCTGGTCCAATTCATCCACTGTCCGCACCCTGCAGGGAGGGAAAAACAAGGTACCAAAAAAGCACAGGTTTGACAAGCAAAGATGGAGCATGAGGGAGATAAAAGACCGTCAGGAGACAAGATAACGGAGAGGAAGCGTGATCCCACATGTAGTGGAGCAGGTGAAGACTTACTCTGACAAAGCCTCCCAGAAGAAAGGCCTGTTCATGGCAAGACTCTTCAGTTCATTCAGTGTATCGGTTAGCGTGGCACTGAAAAGCAACGTTTGTCTGCGTGCTGGAACAGCCTCTAGGATCACCTCCAGGTCCTCAGTGAAGTCAGTAAATTTTTGCTCAGCCTCATCCAAAACCTAGACACAGCCAAAAAATAACCAACAGACTGTCTGCACTCATGCCTACGAAGCTAGGAATCTTAAAAGCAGAAACAAAACTAAATAAACTGCCCTACCAAGAACTTTAGCTTTTTAAGGCTGAAAGTGTTGGAGCTGCGGAGGTGATCTGCCAACCTGCCAGGTGTAGCAATGACAACATGGGGTTTGCGGGAGAGCTCTAGTGCCTGGGCCACCATGTCTGAAACAAAGAGCCATAGAACCAGGTTACGGGCAGCTGAACACAGACCCTAAATAACGTTTGGTCTGTGAAGTTGGGAAATACAACGCTCCCTATTTCTGCTACCCTCACACAGCCTTAGGCACAGAATAACAACTTCACAGCAAGAAGAAAACATAGCACGTAGAAAGAAAAGCGTCATCCACACACTGGATATCCAGTGACCCAGGAAAACAAAACTATTGTTCTGGGTTTAAAACGCTTACCATCCTTATGTCCTTTTATAACTCTTTGCTTCAAAAACAGCTGCCTACGTTTAAGGAAACACTCCCAGTTTAGAGATAAATCACACAGGCCTCTATCCACAGGGACAAAAGGACAGTAAGCCTCTCTAACAACGACTACCTATCTCCATCCAGCTGCTGCAGGGAACAGGCTGCCAAAAGAGAGGCGATTTCCGATGCATTTTGGAGAATTTGGCCCCCACTTGCTCACCCAGTGTTTTGTTCTTTACCAGCCCTGCCCGCACCGGAGGCGGAGAGGACCAGCAGAGGCCCCACGCGGCCCCAACCTCGGGGCAGCGCCACTCACCCAGGCCGCCCACCACGACGCAGTCCTTCAGGCCGAGGGGCTTCCCCAGGACGCGGAACTGCTCGGCGATCTGGTAGGCCAGCTCCCTGCCGAGGGAGAGAGAGCTCAGGCGGGGCCGGGCGCCGCGGCGGGGCCCTGCCCCAGGGGCCGGGGCTCCCCGGGACCCCTGCGCACCTCGTGGGCGTCAGCACCAGGCAGAAGATGCCGTAGGGGTCCTCGGAGAGCGCCTGCAGCACGGGCAGCACGAAGGCC